GAACTGCCATGGGTCTTGATTTTGGCAGTCAGTTTTATCAGATGGTTGTACTGGAGACCTACCAAGAACAATGCCAGAACACACCAGATGTGCTCTGTGCTGCAGAGGGTATCCTCAGTGGAAGGCACACAAGTCCCAAATGACAGAGGAAGTATGGAAGTAAGAAGCGCACTCAACTGATTTCGAAGCATTCAGCTGCCATCACCTATTTATTACCACCATAGCTGAATAGAGATGCCTTATCAAAACAATCCTGCTCAAGGTCAGAAAAGTCCTCATATTCTCATGCTCAGACAGGCATCATCACCGCAGAGTAAAGTGAGTTTTGCTGATGGACGAGTTGAATGGGACAGATATCACTACTGAGTCTTGGCTTACAAAAGCCTCTGAGAGAAACATAGGGTCACTCAAAGTCTAGAGGAAGATAAAAAATAGAACATGCCAGAAAACAGAATTCACGCAGGAATTCAGACAGTTTCGTAATAAACTAGTATGTTCTACTATATTTTCTATAGAAATCCAGTCAAGCAGTTTAATAGCAATTTTTTAACTTTATCCAATGGCTGTTTTCTGCATGAGTTCTCACAAGTACTGCAAACACACAACAAAGAACATTTTGCTCTGGATGCTGTGCTTCACATAACTGGCAGATCCACCTGAGGATCTGACAGTACATGTTATAGAATATCCTGAGCAATGGTACACCATAAAAATTGAATGTATGATTCAAAAAGAATTTGTGGTGCTGAAGGAAGCAGGGGGTGGGATAAAGACATGAGCTCTAGAAAATGCACCTGAAGTACTATCAGAGCCACCTGATCCCTCTTCCAGGTAGTTTGCATTTTTCTGTAATAAAACTGCTTTATTTGGCCTAGTTGATATATTTAAAGACCAACTTTCATTATTAATTCTTAGTCTTGATATATACTACATACAAATTTTACCATGATATAAATTTTAAGGAAATGTTTAATAATCAAGTTTAGTTCTGGTCATTAGGGAACTCTAAAAAGCACCTACATTTTAAGATTTATTTTCCAGATCGACTGCATGAGCTAATCCATGCAGTCCATTATTTTTAATCCATTTAACATACTATTGATACTGCATAGGCTATTTTTTTAATCTGAACATCTCAGTAGTAGGTCAGAGATCCCTAAAAAAAGGTATATTAAAACAAATAGTAACCTTTATCAACTGACTTGTACTACTTTCCAGAAAAAAACCCAGATTAACTCAATACAGGTCGCTTTCCATAAAGGTACTCTAAAAAGTGTAACTATACTCCCATGCTTTAATACTTTAATAATTGAATTTCTTATCAGTATTTTATTCAGAAATCAGGTCAGATTAATGCAATAAAATACTGACTTTTCTGGATATTGACTCAATATTATCATTCTTTTAGATTCTAGGCAGTGTTGTAATATATATGCACTAACTTTGAATACTTTTTCAATGAGTATCAGTAAGAGAAATATTTCTTAACCAGCTGTATAAAGTGGTAAGCTATAAAAATTCTAAAAATCTTCTCTTGGCTACTAATAGATTAAGGATGTTGCAGCATCTTCATTCCAGACACATTCCTACTTCATTCCAGACACAAAACGGAAGTATCAATTTTATCATATTAATTTTATTTATTTTATATTTTTATTCACTCTATCATTACACAGTTACAAATTTGTTTTATCTAATAATAGATTACATCTCCCCCATAATAGCTACCTTAGTAGTAGTACATTTGTAAATCTTGCCTGTTTACTGCAGTTCTTGGCCTTACTACACAAAGATTTCCTCTTGACTTCAACATCTTATTCATCTTTTATATTCCATTGGAGCTTATATTTTCAGGTTATTATCTATAATCCACATTCCATTTTGTTTATGTTGCCTTTTATTTCTAAATATTTTGCTCTCTTTCCACTAAAATGAAAGAGATATTTATAATGAGTCACCATCTAATTATGAAACAGTATTTTTTTGTTACTTAATAAACTCTTACAGTCCACAGTTTCTATTAATATTACCTACTAGCCTTTATCTTCCTCATAACAGCTTTGGAAAAATGAACTGCTCTGAATTAACCTATTTCAGGTGCTCTGTTGGCTCCCTCTGAAAGTCATGCTGCACAAAATACCTGATTCCTATCCCACACTGCAACAAAAATAAATCCAATAGTCCCTTAAAATATATTGGATACAGCAACCTTTGTTTACAAGCATTCCTTTCAGAATTTTTGGAAACTAATGATTTTAGCTCATTGCGTAAGGGTCCCAAATTGGGGTGACCACAGCAATGCAACATTTTATAACATTCCAATACAAATATGTGCTTAATTAGTAAGTCATCACCTCTACAGTGATCCACTGGTGTATATCAGATTTCTACCACAAGCCTCTTCCCTAGGTTTTGTAACTGGTTATCTTGACCCAAATAGATCCAGGATCCTGTGGTTCTGTATTATCAATAACCTTAAAAGCAAGTAATACTGCCTGCTATAAACACTCACACTCTTCTCTAAAGTTACCCTCTTCTCCCATTTATAGCTGTAACTAGCAGCCACTTAATTAGCGATTCAGAAACAATTTAATTGTTGGATGTTAAAAAACCCCTATATAATGTCACAAGAGATGTGGAATGGGTAGAAAAAGTAACTGCATTCAGTTTCAGAATGAGGAGAAAATTACACTTGCACTCTAAAAGACAAGTAAAGCCTATGAAGTGACCAGAATAGCAGACAAAGATTAGAGGATCATATAATTTTGTTAACCTGTTTAAGTGATATATATATATATATAGGTGAAACTTGATCTCTATATAGAAAAAACTATTTTAATTACTGGAGCTGGAGTGAGCATCAAGGTCAGGGTACAAAAACCTGACAGCTATCCAAAAGAAAAGAAATGAGGCAGACCAGACTTCAAAAGAAGAGCTGCACTCTACTGCTATTTTTTACAGTATTATCACAATATTTCATTATAACATCAGAAACATAAGAGATATTTTAACAGGATTTATGTCATATTCTGGACAATTCCACTGAATTGCTAAGGATTTTACTTTTTTACGGTGGTATATTGTTAATAAAATCTGATTTTAGCACCCAACTAAACAAACTAGTTTACTTATAGACACTTTCTTTTAAAAAATTGTTCTGCAGAGGAATAGCAATCAGCAAAACTGTTACTTGAAATATGCATGCATATTCTTTATATTCAGGCAAAATTATTATTATTATTATTATTATTATTATTATTATTATTATTATTATTATTATTATTATTATTATTATTATTATTATTATTATTATTATTATTTCATATTTACATTTTTCACATCTAGTGTAACCACAAAAGTGCTAATGAATATTCATGGTAATTAACAACAAAGCTGTCATCTCCTTCAACAATGAATGAAGTTAAGATAATAGTTGCTAATAGATCCTGCTCACTACTTTTACCTCTGAGAACAGAAGATCTTTTACTTTCTCATTTTCTAATTTTTGAAAAACTTTTCATTATGGAACTATGTAAAATATTGATAGCATGATTTTTTTATCTCCTTCTTTCTGTAACTGCTACTTTCACTTTATTCAGTGAAAATATTCCAAAGTTCTTAGCAGGCTGAATGGAGACTGAATTGCTTCTCTCCACCATCAGTGACATAGGAGTACCTAATTAAAAAAAATAGATAATACATTAGATTAATTCAGGATTTTCCATATTTAGCCAAAAATAAGCATGCAGCTGTGGAAAGAATACCTACATCTTCCTCTTAGAGTAAGCATTCAGTATTAGAATAAACTCATGAAACTTTATAGTCTGTTCAAGAATAGGCAGCATATTTCTGAATGAACAGGCATAATTATCAGTTTTATACCTCTTTTTCAACAGTTACATCAAAAGGCAAACAGAAAATATTAATCACTTTAATAATAAACTTTAAAAGTAAAATATCTAATTTTTTAAATAACATGGACTTTTTCATGAAAACCAGTCATTATTTTCACCTTGGATAAGTTAGCTTATGAATTACTTGAATTTCGGATTCCAAAGCAATATCGAACATTGTTCAGTCTTTTTTCATAAGGAGATTTTTATGAACTTAACAACAGAGCTGAACATGGGATGATTTCAAATGCTAAAGGTCTGAACACTGCCACGTAGAGTGACTTTATATGCTTTCTTTTTCCAGTGCATCAAAATACCATTACCCTTTACTTTGAATGCTTCAGTCTTGCTCAAACATATCTGACAGCAGTTCACTTCTACACAAACCAAGAGCAGAAGAGAAGTAGCTGATTCATGGGCTAATAAACAATAGCCTTCTTTGAAAGTTGGTATACAGTAGTTATACACTACATTAATAAAATCACACAATATTCTGAGTTGGAAGAAACCCGCAAAGATCGTCAAAGTCCAACTCCTGGCCCTGATCAGCACCATCCCCAGGTGTCACACCATGTGCTCAAGAGCACTGTTCAAACCTTTCCTGAAGTCTATTAGGCTGATGTTGTGAACACTTTCCTGGAAGGAATATAAGGAAACAATATCCTACATACTGTTCTTAAAACTGCTTTCCATTTTGCAACATAGAGGCTTCCTTATATAGTACTTTTAACACAAGAAGCACATGCATATGGAAAAGGCAGTAATTCACAATAATCAATAGATATGAATTATTATATTAAATGCGTTGGGAATTTATTTGCTGCAAAGTAATCTGATATGAAACTAAGCACTTTCTTTTGGGACCAAGTATATGTCAGCCATATATAAAAAGATGACCAATAAAAGTTGTGGAAGTATTTGAAAGTCTGGGAGAGAGGTAGTGATTCTTTCTCCTTATTCAGACCTGACACCAGAACTCTGCAGCGACTACAAACACTGTTCCGGAACAGGAAGTGCATCCAAGCCTTGCCTAATCTTTTACATTTTCCTTTCAATCAAAAGCACCTTTGCTCAGGTGAGCATTCAAAAGAAAACCAATATTCAAACCTTCACAAATATCTTGAACTCTTCTACTTTGTCACTAGTGAGCAGCAGCTCCTTCTGTATAGTTTCCAAAGCCTAAGTACTCTGCTTAGCTAAGCCATGTAATTGTTGAGATGCAGCAGTTTCAAGCTCAGTCATAGCACATTCAATCTCAATCACTTCTCTCTAGAGTTTAGTAATCTTGAGATCCTGAAAAACATCCACAGAGACACAGCAGTGATATGATAAAAGCTGATGGGGAGGTATGGTAGATTTCAAACGAATGAACAACCAACCTCCTACACCATAGGTGACATCACAGAACATTCCGCTTGCAACATATAGTATGTAATTTCATGGCAAAAAGTAATTTCATTTTCAGTCATTATGTCCATGTTTCAGTATGTAAATTTCAGAAGTGTGACTGAATTACATCAGAGAAACAGATTACAATTATTCTGCTATTTTCCCCCTTTCTGTACTGAAAGTTAAAGCTGATGACCTTGGAACTTTTCATTTTAAAGTAAGGTATGAAAAAGTTCTACAGTGGAGCCATCAAAACTCTAATTATACCTTTTACTCCAAATCATCTTTGGCTTTGTGATACATCTGCTCATACTGAGACTTCTATTTCATAGCTACATTAAACCTTTGTTTCATTGAGTCAATGGAAGCTTTTTTGTCATCAGCCAGTGCCTTCGCCTGAAATAATGAAAGGCCAAGAGCACTGACTATCAAGATAGAAAACTTCAAGATTTGAATAAAATCAGAGCTAAGCATACCTATATTACATAAAATATACAACTATATTAGTGAAGTATCTTTTTCTGAAATGCAGACTTTAATAAATCTCTACTGCTTATCAAGTAGAGATCAGTTCACACACAACCTTGTTACATAAAGTTTTGACTGGCATTAAATATGAAGAAAAGCTGAGAGCTGTTTGTTCATACATATTTTAGACCCACAGCACTTGCAAAAGGGAGTAAACTACAATTTTCACTAATTTCTTTTGTCAGAGAGAAACACATAAATTCAAACTCAGCTGAGAAAAGAATCGTCTATATGTTAATAGTCTGTAAAGCCTCTTAGATAATGAATAACTAATGCAAACACTGATTGGGGGTAAAAATGAAAAAAACCAATGCTCCTTAAAATCGTTCAGCTTTCCTACAGTGCTAATCACAAAGTTTTCCTGACAATATTGAGTAACAGGGAATTTCTTTGATCTTTTGCTGAAGATAATGTAAAATTTATCAAGCTGATTTTCCACATGGAATAATCAAAATAATGTATGGAATATGATTCTTTGGAAATGAAGTGCTTCGAATACTCAAAGCACAGCACTAAAGCACATTATTTCATTCTAAATCTTTTATCCAAAACCAAAACCAGGTATTTTTCTCATGTCATACCTTAGATCCCTTGCTTACTTAACATTCTCACTTTCTGGCTGTGGACTTCTTAATAACACCTTATCTTTAGCATGGAGGGTTACACATTAGCTCTCTTTGGAGCTGAAAATGCTGTATGACTGCAAGCAGGAATAGTGCTTGTGTCACTCAACAAGCACTTGCATTCTAGGCAAACAAAAGCAAACTGGCCAGTGTTCATTTCTATTTTGGGGTCATAAGCTGCATAACCTGATAGACAACCAAATATCAAGATCTTCTCCTGGCATTGAAGGCTAAAGTGCAGTGCATCAGTTGGATAACAGAAATAGGCTAAGTCATATACAAATTATCTTACCTTCAGTGAAATCATCCTAAAATTTTGCAGGAGAAAATAATTTGCTATAGAAGTCAAGCACTACCTACACAGTTAGAATTACTTGAGCTAAGAACTGTGAATCATTCATAACACTGTAGTAGAAAACAGATTAACATATTAAAACATTTAACTACTATAGCCAGGAGAGATGCATGGACTTCATTAGCATATGTCATGTAAAATCACCCTTTTTTCAGGTCTACTATATTTTATGAACTTACAGTGCATAAAACTAAATCCCACTACTTACAGCATATCCTTGCAACTGTGTGTTCTGAATACTTTAATATTTAATTACACCTATAACAAAGATAAATTAAATTATGCTGAATCCATTCAAGCTATCACCATATACTGATTTCATACAAATTATAGTGGAGGGAATTACACCCTTCAATTAACTGTATGTTCTTTGCTTTAAGCAATATATTGATTTAATATGTATAGTGTGTTGAAACAACTTCTGTAAATCCACCAGCTTCTGCATTTTTGAAAACTAGGAATAGCAAGAAAGAAGTACCTTTCTCTCAAGACTTTCCAATATTTGATTTGAGGTTTTCTCATTTTCTTGATTTGCTTTTAGGCAAGACCTTAAGTCTTCTATCAAGTGTCTTTTCATAGTAACGTCCCTCTCCAACTCAGATATTCTGCAGAGGGAGAAGTTGGATATCACTGCTAGAAAATTTGGTTAATATGCAACTAAAAGGTATAAAGGCAGTAGACAATCTATCATACCTGTAGCATTAAAGTACTTTCAAAAATGAAAGCTGATGCAGTTCTTGCAATTTACTTGGTTCTCAAGTACTAAACCCAGTTTCAGTCTCTTATTAACAGATCTTTTTCTAAATATGCAATATATTTGTGATTTGATTTTTGCTTGTCTGAACTGAAATCACAATAATACTGAAACTATTATCAAAAAAAGGGAAAACAAACCTGCTGTGCCCACAAAATTCAATTAATTAAATTCCTTTGATGTCTCAATCATTCAAACACTATTTTTTGCAATATTATTTTCAAAAGAAAGTGAAATGGGGAAGACTCCTTTCCTCCAACTGAGTAATACATGGAAATAGTTGAAAAATCCCTATTCCTGTGTGTCAGATGAGATAAAATGCAAAATCTAGAAATAACATCAGCTTTTGTCAGAAACTTCCTGTAAAACCTGCAAAACTCTCATGTACTAAAAAGTAATCTTTGTTCAGTGAGAAAATTATGCCTTATAGAATGCTTCCACCATTATAACACAAATTAATATTTTAAATATAAACATAAGCAATACCTGAATATCTCCAGATATCTGGATTTTTTTCCAATGAAAGCAAAATGAATGGCAGTATATTCAGGAATACAACACTCTTAATACAATGTCAATATTGTATTCTTAAAAAAACCCAGGAATACAATGCATCTAAAAATTTCTTTGATCTATTTCACCTTTATACTCTTACTGCAATTTTGGTTATTATATTTTTCTGCTTATAAAAAAACAATATCTATTTTATAAAGAAAGCATGCTATCCAAGAATTATTTTAAATTTGAAATCTTAGTGGAAAAATTCACTTTGAAACAGAAAATAAACCAATCTATAATGTAATAATTTTTAGGGCTCTCTATTTTTTAAATGAACTATTTTCAGATAAAAAACTGCATTCTTTCTTCAATTAAAAAATCAGAAGGGTTAGAGGAGTTAAAACCTTGGGCAGATAAGAAATTCAGGTACACACAGCTTTTTTTATAGTTGAGATGGTAATATAATTGAAGAACAGCATCATATCAGTTACAGTAGGTAGAATAAAAATATCAATGGCATATTTGACAATTTTTGAATTTCAAAATGAATAATAGACCTGAATCAATTCAAATAGAAACAAATACAACTGTCCTTTTGAACTTTTTTATGAATATAAGACTAGCTATTTAATCTTATTTAAGCATCTGAACCTTGACATGTCTCTTAGCCCCTAGGCAAAGAATTACTGAATCTGAAAGACTGTGTTTAACAGCGCTGAGGAATTCATTTCAACTCACACCAAGGATAAAATAGCCTGAGTTCCGACTTAAGGTGTTCTTCCTGCCATACAGATACTGTAGCTAGCTGCATCAGTTTACGAAAACCGCAATTTAAGCCTAAACTGTTCCAGTTTCAAAAACGTCCCTGTAACGCTATGCAAGACTGCAGTAAAAAGAACGCGTCGCTCTCCTAAGAGCCGAGGAACAGTTGACGCTGTAGCAATTTTACAGCTGCCACTGGGTGGCACCAGACACAATGGATAGAAGAGGCACCATACTTCGCTGGCAGCTCCCGAATCCATTCTTTTTCCTGGACTTGTTTTTTCAGTGACTTAATGGTGGTCGATTGCTTAGCGATCTCAGTGTTCGAATTCTATATTGAAAAACATTAAAATATAAATAGAGCAGACCGAATTTGATCACAGTCAACAGTAAATTTTGGAAAAAATTATCTGAGTAAATTTCCATATATTTTATGAAGATTCTTAGAAATTAGCTGGTATAAAAGGAGTGTTCTTACTTCCTAGAAACACTTCAGCTGAACTACATTCCTTGGAAAATTTGATGAAAATCAGTACATTTCCATTGTTCTAATAATGTATGGCTACTAGATGTTCTCTGGCACACTTGCAAGCACCAATCAGGAGTGCATTTTTCTCTTGCATAGCATGGTTAGAATAAAATGTAACAGAAGAGAAGTAGAACTGGATCTTCATTTGAACTATATCTTTGTACGTACAGTTCTACAGCACAAGTAATTACATCTTTACAGAAAGAATGTCCAGTAATTCCTTTCATTTTAAGTATTAAGAAATACAAGACTATTTACAAGAGTGGTTGCTTTTATGTCTTCTGAAATTCAAAGCACAAGACAAAGACATTTCCATTTGTCTGTACTAACACAAATTCTACATTTCACTAACAACTAGGTATGATCCGAATTTTCAGGCACATGTCATTCCAATGAAGGACATTTATACAGTTGTTGGCCATTCCTCATTTGTATATAATAAGAAAAAAAGTGCTTCTATTCCTCCAGGCAATTACATATATCATCTGCCCAAGATCTAAATGCAGAAAAACTGAATCATTCTACAGGAAAAAAGAAAAAAAAGAAATTTACAAAAAAAAAAAAAAAAGAAATTTACCAAGTAGCCATCTTAGCAATCTGACCATATGCATTGAATGCCATTGCTGACATGGCAGCTCAAGCACACCACATAGAGATATTTCAGAACTCCAAAAGGTGTTGCCAAAAGATACATGTTAAGCATATGCACCAAGTATGTATCTGCCTATATGTATACAGATTTAGCCACCATACTATAGCTTTTTACTCACTATGTATGAACAATAAGCAAACAGATCAGACATGCTGTAAACAATGATACTTCAGGAGAATTTTTCTGCTCAGTGCAGACTTGTAATGCCTATTAACATTAATGGGAGTATTGCACATAACTCTGTGCACCTCAAGGGGAGTATATATTCTTGTGTGCATAGTTAGATGTAAAATATTGTTCTTAATAACTTGTCTAGTCTATTTACTATTATTATAATGTGAGGTATAACCAGAAACTTGTTAAAATGTTGTATGCTAGCAGAATATTCCTGAGTTTCCTGAGACCTGTTTGTGGAGCTTGAGTTCCATTAGCGTAAAGTAGAGCACCCAGTTACGTGCTTTCCACACCAGACATGAACTTGAGTACTTAGGTGGGCCTCTGCACACATTCAGAGGCAAAGACATATGCTTATGGTATTTTGCTTCCGAACTCACCACCCACACTTAACACATTTCCTCCTGTTGGCAAAGATACAAGGAGTCAATACATGCAATGTAAACAAGCACTGCAAAGACAGCGCTAAGGAAAAAAAATTAACCAGCAAGGCCAGGTACTTGGACATTTTGAGCTATAATGAAACCTTTTGCTGCTTAGACATTCAGATATTCAGGAGAATAACTATGCGTCTCATCTTTAAGTCAGCTAGAAAGCCTGGAACAATAATTGAAAACCCTTTGTCAAATTCTTCAGCTAAGAAATGACTTGCAGGACTTAAACTAGCTTTAAATAAAGTTAAGAATTTCAGAAACTTGATTTAAGTAGTTTTTGAGCTCTTAATATTCAAAACTCTCATCCAATTCAGAAAACAGTGAATTTACTCTACTACATACATTTGGGGTCACAGACTATCTCCATCCTAAATATAGTTTTGCATACATGATTTATTTTTTCATTAAAAATTTAATATCTTTAAGAAGGAATTAAAAGTCATGCTAGTATTTTTGATATCAGATTTATATATGCTTGCTAAATATTTCCTCTGCTGCAGAAACAAAAAAACCTTTGATTTTTCAGCAATTTATTTTGCAGTTCACATTTGGCAGACAAATAGAGTAGGCTTCTAGCATGGGTGTTACTCTTAAACTGTTTTAAAAAATAAACCCCATTTTTTTATTTTTCCTACCTGCATAGATCAATTGACTGCTAGGTTTCTGGATAATGAAGATATTCATCTAAAAGGTACAACCCTAATTAACAGCAACAGAATCAGATTATTTAATCCCAAAACTAAAAGCAATACTCAAGAAGACAGTGTGTATGGTTTTAAGACCTCTTTCTCATAATTAAAGCAGATCAATTTATGTGCCTTTTCATGGCTACTCCCTGCTGGCCTCATCTCTTTATCAATGTGACCTACCTTTACTAATCCCTGAATTTAGATGTTATGTATCCAGTGTCCAATAGCCACGATCTGTAATACCATGATTACCATCAACAGCTCAGAGGTCTGAGCATTACCCACACCTCCTGTGCTAGCACAGCTAATCCAGCATTTAGAGTCAGCTACGTTGACCATGTAACAGAGCCTTTTCTCCTAGCTGATCCTTTGGCAGCCTTCTTGCTACTGTTGAGTTTCTTCTAGCAGCACAAAGCTGCACCATTTTGACCTTTTCTCTTTTCTCTACTATTTAACAGAAAACAATTGGAAAAAAAAAAAAAAAAACTTGAAGACATACTGTTGCAAATATATTTCCTCCAGTGAGAAGAGAAGAAGAATTAATGTGTTTGAGACAGGCCACCTGCTGAGAAAGCTTTCAGAACATCACAGTCGAGTCTCTGCATCATTCACATGCAACAAAATCACCCAAGACTGAAAAGTGAAATCATCAATCAGTCAGTATTTTCCTAGCAGCTAATCTACACAAATACAAAATAATTAAGTCTCTCTGAAGACAAAGACAACACTGACACACACACAACACTGCTGCCCCATTACCTCAAATTCTTTGCTCCACTTTCACATACAGCTATTGCTTTTCTCCTTAGATGAAGAAAGGAATCAACTGAATTCTCATCAAACCAATTTCACAGCCCCTTCCAACAAGATCTACTTAATCATTGTGTGAAAACCCACCAAGGCTCCTATTTGGCCTATTTGATCTGCAGAAATTGTTTTAGAACTTTTAGTTCTGTCTATGAATACATTTCTACTTACCATCAAAGGCAATCTAACACCTAAGCTGCTAATCATTGGCTATGATATACAAATGATAGGCATATGGGAGTATAGGTATGCCTGCTTGACCCAGTTATGAACTACTGCTCATACAAATTATCCTCAGCACTAGATAATCTGTTCTGTCACCTTTAGTTTGCACTGCAGCTGTTTCATCTCTAAATCAATGTTCTTTGAAGGAGCTGGTGTGGCTTCACTCTTGCCAGCAGTTTGAGGCAGATGTTCTCTCAACTTTAATTTTCCTTGTAGATCTTCCTTCTCCTGTTGCCACTTGGCCATGTTGGAGGTCAAAATCTGTTTTACAAAGAGAATAAACAATCACAATTTCATCCTAAAAACATTTCTGCTTGATTGTATGAGATGCTTCTCCAGTTCAGCGTTCAAGAGGAATGCAATTGTATATATCACCTCTAATTACATTGAATAGCTGTTGGTTGAATTCTCTAGTACAGGCAAAGATCAAATCTGGCAGAAAAAAGAAATCTACTACCACTGGAAACAAGCAATTATTTTAAAATTATAGGCAAAATAATTCAATTTTGATTGAATATGTTGCAGTTTCAACTTCAACAAACAAAAATTATCATACGAAATTGTAACAGCAGCTACTGTTGAAACATGTTTACCTAGAGCCTTCCTGGAATTCAGCAATTATTTCTACACAGAATATGAATACCATGGTGTCGTAGATACCAATGTGAATTAAGGGTAGTTAAAAGTCAAATCTGTTATAATGGTGACCACTGAAAGCTCACTTCAATTGCTGTGTTGACAACTGCTATAAAGCATACACGCTTCTCTTGGCTTTTGTTTTGATATTTGTAGGGCTTGTAGAGGTTAAAGCAAAGTGGACCAGCTGCACTAACTATCTCCTGGTTGGCTGGTCTTTACCTATGTGTTATTTCATCCCTTTCAATGTATGCACCATAGCCAGAGAACTGCACATTCCATAACCTTGACTCTAGGGCTGAAGTACTTAAGTGGTAAAAGACAAGCTGGAGCAGGACAGGATAACAGATGTTAGTTGTTTATTCCACTGGGTAGGTCTTACCACTCTATACTGCAGCCAAAATGCTTCTCACTTAGCAACATAAATGCTAAGTCCAATTAGCAGACGAGCCTTGTTAGGGATTTAGTTCAAATAAATATCATGCAAACAAACTCTCAGTCTTGTTGCACTTGACCGACAACCAACAAGACTTACTCAATCTTTGTACCAATATATTTCACATTACTCCTTTCAGAAGTAATGTTTTAAATAATTGCTTTAATTTAAATAATATTGAATGTTGTTCTGGAAAAAGGGGAACGGAAATAATCTTCATGCTAGTGATTAACTTTCACAAAACTGTAGTCAGCTGAAAGCCAACAATGGCCCAACAGCTCTCTGCTCCTTACAAGGGTTATTAAAATGCTATCTTATTATTCCATGTAAGACTGTAATACAGTAGCTTAACATAAGAAACAATTGTACAAAGTGGTATGGAAATACCTCAAAATGCAAAAAAACCCCTTATTTTGTGAAGAATCCTGATCAGAAGCATGAGAAGATACATGACAGCTTGAAATAACTAAATGTGTGCCTGATTATATGCGGATACCAAATGAAATATCTAACCATAAATAAAAAAAAAAAAAAACCATAAAAAAACCCCAAAACTCCCAAACCCCCCTCCCAAAAAACACTCCTAAAAGCAAATTTTAAAATCTACAAAAAAAGGTGGAAGTTAAGTATTCTATTCTCAAGCAGTTTATTATTTAATTTACAAATTAGATTTTATACAGCTTGATATCATTAGAAAAAAAATCATATACATGTGTTAATAAAAACATACACTCACATGACTATAATCTGAAGATCATATATACAGATAAAAGAGAGTCACAGTAATTCCCATTATGAATGAGAAAAGAATGCTTGTATATTTTGCATTAGCCTAAAAAAATATCATCGGTACAAGGAAAATTCATCTGGTATTTAAAGTTAAAAATCTAACACTATTTATTTCATATTTACCAAGCACACTTATTAAAGTCAGTGGTCATTTTACATATGTATCCGAGCTAAGTACTGTTCTTAGTAAAGGAGCTAATCTTTCCATTCCCGTCTGTGTCTGTTGTCATTATTAAACAAGAGAGCAATATTGTATTTTCTAATTGACTATTCCTTAATCTGATATTCTCATAATTACTACATTTACAGAGTAAAAGACAAAATATGGACCATTTCAATAAGAAAAACCAGCAGAAATACAGAAGGACATAGTATAGAAAAATATGAAGATTATGTTAATTTGTCCAGTATAACCAATATTTCTACATGCAGAATTTCATGATTCAGTGTCTCTATAATAAATTATTCATAAAAAGAAAAGAAAAAAAAATCATAGCTAGATCAATATCTCTGTTCAAAATTAGAAATGCCCGTATCTGCCCAAGATAGCTCACAACATGAATTGCACCGGCTACATTCTCAAAAATTATAGCAAATACATTCAAAAAGAAAAGGTCTTCATGGGACAGGTACTAAAGATGACAGTTGGTTAGAGAAACTACTTAAGGAAGTAGAAAAAAAGATATTAAAAAAAGAATCTACATGAATTCAGAAACAGCATAAGAACTATGGATGGAGTGAAGGTAGCATATGATGTACAAGGGCCCAACTCGCAAAAGCAGACAGGCATGCAATTGCAATCAGACATTTCACATAACTTGTCTTTTAATACTGCTGTAGATTTTGTAAATGTACTACAGGACTGATAATTCTACTGCATTACTCTTTTATTTTTAACTATTTATCTACTGAACAGTTATGAGAAAATCCTATGTAAATCCATGTGGGATGTAAAAAACAGACTCCCCCTGCCCTATCAAGAGATTTATGCCCAAAAGATAGTCCTTGCATTTACTTAAGAAACAAGTTCATTACCCTAGCATTCTTCACCACTGCCTATACTTTAGGTCAAGTTTTTAATTATTTTTTAATTTTTCAGACACAACAAAAGTTTTGTGCATGTGCTACCACGGACACAAATCCTGAATGACAGAGAAGAAAGAATTTACTCCAGGGGAAGAGGTCACCAGGATGAAAGGTAGAAGAATCTTCAACATCAGCTAGACCAGATGTTGGTAAAGGCAGCCTACTGCTGTTCCTCTATGATGTAGCGGCCTTTGTCTGCTGCACCTCCTCCAGAGTGTTTTTGGCTTAACAGATGTTTATAGGTTCAATATTTTAACATCCATCTATCTTAATCTCCTTGCTCCTGGTATACCCATGACACTCCGTACTGCTGTTCACAAAGGAGTAAGTGATGAAAACCCAGTTTCTATGTAGTCAGTACAAAACTTCCAGTGACTCAGCAAGGCTGTTCACTATAAACTCTCTGCTCACAGCTGTGTGGAAGGCCCAATGGTTCAACACAGGAAGTTCCTGCTATGGCCTCTTGCTCCCTGGCATCACAATCACTCCATAAGGGGCTTTGGGCTCATTTTACAGAAGTCACTATTCTACTGCAACTGGCATGTATGAATATAACATTTCTGTTGGAAGGAGCTGATACTGTATTGCTACTGAAGGCACACAATCCCCCACATTTATATTTGCAAAATATATTATATAAAAATTATAAACCAGGATGTAAATCAGGCATTCTTGATGCGTTTTTTGAGCAGTGACATAATCATATCTTACTACTCATTTTGTAAACTAAAGCTAATATACTTCGATGTGTAAAATCCCATTTTCTGCAAAGCTTCCCTAAACTCCTGGCAGATGCAAACACTGCTATGTCAGTAAAAAACCTGAAGTTAACACTCACTTTTCTCCTAAGAAACCTTCCTACAGTAGGTAATAGAATACATTTGCCATATGCATAGCTCCTATACAAAGTTCTGTCAGAATTTAATACTGCTTCTATAAATGTTTTAAATAGAACACCATTTTTGCACAGTTTCTGCTTGATCATGAAAAACATACAAAATAAGCAGTACTTGTTGTACACGTAAAACATAACAGAACTTTTCAATCATGCTTGCAAGCAGAGAGCTACGTATTTACGATTTTACTCATTCTCTCAAATATTATTATAACATCATGATAAACCTATTTACAATATCCAATTTATTGTGTCAATCCCACTACTCCTGAAACAAAAATCTTCCTCTGCCTGATGGGTCATAGGAAAAAAAGGTGAAAATTAATAAAGATGTATGTAGCTATCTGAAAAGATATATACCAGACTAAAAAGCTATGGTGAATACTTAATGTGATCATATAGAGAAAAGGCAAATAACTTCAAATCCTCGATCAAGTTCTTTTCATGCAAGTGCTGTAAGTGGTTGATTACTTAGTATTCTAGACATGAAGACAAAATATCAAACAGAAGTCTCTGGTGACTTAATATCCCATCCCTAAATTGAAACAAAGACCCCCCCAAAAGCAAGACAAACTTCTTATAAAATGTAGAACTTTTTTGTCATTTGTCCTTCTGAAATTTTGGTAAAATCTACCGAATCATTTAGTAGTATTTTTTTTTCAGTCAAATGCAGTTATCAGGAGCTGACTATTCCACAAAATGTCAAATAAATGAAGGTAATATAGAGGACTTTTTGCCAGTGCTTTAGCTAGTTGTTAGACTTCAGTAGCCTTTAGAGACCATTAAGTACCCTTTGGCTAATTGGCCAATGGTAGATTAATCCTCTTTTTATTCCAGCAGCACTATTTTAACACCCTTTGCACTCTGTCAGTGTAGTATCTGAATGACAAAATAATATTGTGCATGAATAATAAGCAGAAAAGTTAAATTAACATTTCATGTTTCACATGCCATACCTATGTGTCAGGGAAAAGAACCCTCTTTTAAAGCCACTGACATTCAACTTTTTTAAACAATCTCATGTTGACACCTTACTGAAGTGAATCTTCCTAATTACTGCTAATTGCCTATCAAGCAAAAAAAAAAATCTTTCCTTGAAGTGCAGTTGTCTGGTATAGATGAACACAGCTCCAAAGTGCATAGTAAAGACAGGCATGACACTTGAGGTGTGCTACATTATTATGAGGTCATACTAAATATGGTTTGCAGTGAACAAAGCAGCTTTTAAGGATGTTTAAGGTACTAAAAATGTCAATCTCTCATGAAGTGTTTAAATTAGTTCCCCGAAGAAAAGTACAGACATTAACCAGCAGATAAGAGGTAAATTTCTCATCTCAGGTATTTTACTAAAGAAAAACATTTGGCCTATTATAGTGGTAACACAATTGCAGTTCATCTGCTTTATAACAGCAATATTTA